AGATTGGTTCTGGCATTCAAAATATAATAGGGGGCATACATATACACACACAAACACAGATTGAAAGGTGATTTCATAAGCCTACTTTTATTTTTTTCAGAATAAGGAAAGTAAGCTAACAAACGTGTAGCACTAGCAATTCTTACAATTTTCATGAAAAAGAAGACATCGGTACACCACAGGCCTTATAAATGAGCAGCACCACAAAAGTATCTATTTACCTGTGGCTTTGCAGCTCTTTGTTGGGCCTTTGCCGCTTTTTTGTATATTAATCCTACACACAGTCGGTAGGACTACTTGGACGGGGGATCAGCCCATCGCAAGGCACAAAACAACATAAACACAGAATAAAAGCACAGTGACATCCATGCCTCGAGTGGGACTCGAACCCATGACCCCAGTGTTCGAGCGGGCGAACACAGTTCCTGCCTTAGACCGCGAGGCCACTGTGATCAGCATAAAATGATCTGCTAATATCAAATCTCATCTAAGATTAATAGGATGACAAAGTAAAAAGCGATGAGACAGATGGAGAATACAGCGCATATGGGACAGATGAGAGACGCATAGAGAATTTTGGTTGGAAGACCTGTCACAAGGGGCCACTTGGGAGACCTGGACATAACTGGAATATAATATTCTAACAGGTCCTAAAGAAATAGGAATAGAATGTGGAAGGGCACCATGCGGCTTGTGGTAAGGGTCGGTGACAGGCTCTTCGGAACAGTGATTAACTTTCGGGTTCCATGCAATGTGGAAAATTTGAAATGCTGAGAGATTATTAGCTTATAGAACGATTCTGCTCCATGGAGTTATCGAACGTCGCAATGCAGTGTTCAGCACTTGAGAGAGCGATGTCTGCAATGCTCTAACCAGAAGCCCACTGCCCTAACTAAACAATGTCTTGGCTTTCGTCAGATTCTCAAGACAAATGATCGGATAGTATCTTAAAAAAGACCTGACTGCTCCTTCCACATTCTTCGAAATGCATCCTTTTGTCATCATCCCCTTTGAGAAATCGACGTTAAGCGTAGTAAAAAAAAATTAATTAACGAAGTTGCGAGACAAAGACACAGACTTTCCATACCATATCGATAAGGGATTTGTCCCTACGGAATGATGTGACTAAAACAGTCTTAGTGCTTCCGTATCTGCTTACTGTCTCTGATTGGCAGTGTCACGCTTACTTCTCTTATTCCTTAATCGTTACCTTCTATTCCGAGTTTAAAACGGTCATAACTCCGTAACAGTCCAAAATCGGACACACGTTCATATGAACTTCTTTGATCACAAAGACCTAGGAAATCACCTCCTGCAGTTATGCCCTAAAGTCGTGAAACACCCTGTATAAAACAAGCATAACAAACAGACCCAGAAAGGTGAGACCGTACCGAAGTACGAAGAATTTTGACGCGCCTTCTTGCAACGTTCTGTAAGGACCTATAGCATGCAACTTCGTCAAAATGCGTTCAGCTCTTATCTCAAAACAACTTTCATTTGAACAGCATAATGTTATACTTATTCCTTCGCTCTGCGGTCCTCTAATTCTTCTCTAGTATCTACCTTCTGCCTCCATCTCTTTTCACCTCCCGTTATCATTTTCTTCTTCCTCTACACTTTTCTTCTACCCTCTGTTTCACTCTGAAACCTGTTCTTAGCCAGCCATGTTTGATCCATTCTGGCAACACCATCAAACCGTACCAATTTTCTTCATTTTAATGTCCGTTTCATTATCATAGGTTTTATACAATTCCATCAGTCCTTGGTTAGTTCTGATTCTACAAACCGCTTGTTTAGTCAGACGTAATGTTGCGTTAAACCACATTTGTTCCCTTATGGACGTATATTTGACGATGTAGAGCTTCATGAAAAACAAGATGGTCATAAATCGTGTAACATTTCGCAGACTTATAATGTAAAATTCATTCAGAATTCGTCCTAAAGTTCTCATGTTGTCATACAGGTGGGCACAAGGACGGGCAGACACACGACCTCCTTTATCCGTTCAGTTCATGGGCGAAGAAAGAACAACAGGAACGCTTCGTCCTTCTTCCGGTTGCGTGGGCAGATGGGTTTCAAACACGAAAAGGGATTTGAAAGAAAGTAATGATTTTTTCACATACCTTGTCAACCTGCTCCAAGGTATGAGTGATCATGCAATGATTCGTATACTTATGTTAGGACATTCATATTAATTGCGCGTATATCTAGATTCACATATTTATGTTACAATACTAATTACAGGAGCACTGGAACACTAACACATAGGTTACTTCACATTAAGTTATACGAAGACTGGTGACTTTATACTCATATTCGTTGCAAACTCCATATCTTATAATTCATCACTACGTCCTCACTATTCCACCTACTTCTCCCACATTATTTCCCCTCTGGTCATGTGTTCTCCCTCTACTTTTCTTTCTATTTCAAATTCGCCACAGTATCATCCTCAGCCCTTCCCTTCCTCTTATTTTCGTTCTACAGGGTGATCCATATAGAACTGGCCCGACGAAATGAGCTGTAATATAAAATATATCATACAGATATTAAAGTAATTTACACATATCTTATCTTGGATTGTGTGCTGTGATCAGAGCAGGTGTTGAAAGTGTCGGCCGTTTTCAAGTAGGCATGCCTCCACCCGTGTTTGCATATTCGCCGTGACTCGCTGCAGTGTTTCTTCAGTGATGTTCCTGATTTCAGCCGAAATGTTGTCCTTTAAATCCTGTAACGTACGCGGTTTGTTTGCATACACCCTGTCCTTCGGTAAACCCCAGAGAAAAAATCCGGGCTGGTAAGGTCGGGGGATTTTGGGGGCCACATCTTTTTAGAGACGGTTCGATCGGAGATAAAGCTCTCAATCAGTTCCATGGACATGTTGGGCATGTGGCACGCCGCTGAATCCTGCTGAAAATAACCCTGTGTAAGTTCCACATCATCCAGCTGCTGCATGAAATCGTAAAGAATACGGCAGTATAAGGTGCTGTCCACGGTCGTGTCGAAGAAGATCGGTCCACTGATTCGTAAACCAGAAATGGCGCAGCACACACCCACTTTTTGTGGGTGCGGTGGTGATTCAGCAATCTCATGTGGATTTTCAGACGCCCAGATCCTGGAAATTTGTGCGTTTACATATCCTGATAGGTGGAACCATGCCACATCAATAAACCAAGTGATATCTAAAATTCTGGGGTTATCGTGCACGAATTCCCGAAACCATAAACAGTACCGTACCCGTTTATCTTTATCAACATCACCCAATTCCTGAACACTGGTGATCTTGTAGGGATGAAGATTCGCTTTCTTTGCAGCCCGTTGACACGTTGAATAAGAATACCCGGTTTCCTGGATTAGACGTAATGATTTCTTGGGAGACTGCAGTAACCTGTCCCGCAAAATTGCAATCGTTTCTTATGGCACTTTTGGGCGGTTTTAACACGTTCACTTAAAAGTGTCCCTGTCCTCTCCAATTTCTGAGCCAAGGACTGTACAGTCGATTTCGCTGGCTTCTTGCGAACTCCAAACTTCCTCCTGAATTCCAATTGTGTGTTTGCAATCGAGCCTGTCACCCAGTACGTGCGCACGAGAAACACTCGCTGTTCAACAGTGTACTCCATGTAAGATTTGAGGCTTTCACGGCGGTGACTATGAAGAAAGCAGTCTTCTGGGATTTGGCACCGTGTATATGTGGTGTTAACCGACGTTTCGGAGGAACGTATCGCCCCCATCTTCAGGGTTGAAGAAGTATAGGTAAATCTGCAAGCGACAACACCGTGAGACACGGACAGTCTGCTTGACCGTGTCTCACGGTGTTGTCGCTTGCAGATTTACCTATACTTCTTCAACCCTGAAGATGGGGGCGATACGTTCCTCCGAAACGTCGGTTAACACCACATATACACGGTGCCAATTCCCAGAAGACTGCTTTCTTCAGTGTACTCCATGACTGTCGCCTGCGCACTGCAGACACGTTTTGGCATTGTCCTTGACCTTGCAGCATAAGGGCTGCCACTTGCCGGATCATGCGCACACCATTCGACTCAGCACGGCCCACGGATTATTATGTCGTAATTGTGAGCGGTTATATGCATCACCTGCGGAATTATTAGCAAATTCATCGGGCCGGTTCTATACGATTCACCCTGGCACGAAATTTTCAGGTCTTGTTTTAATATATATTATCATTTTTACTGAACGACTGTACGCCAAGAAGTTTGTTTCGTCATATATGCAAAAATTAAGTAATGATTACGGCTGTACAATATTTATGGAGGCGAGCCCACTCTTATTACAATCTATATATAATTATCATAAAGAACAGATTCAATATGTTGTCTCGCTACTCTATTGGATTTCATGTTCCAACTACTTCCGGTGTATGAATACGTATCTTCCACAATCCTCTTACTGTAATCAAGCAGAGAGACATGACTTGGTGTCTCAATAAACTTATGCATAACACCCAAGGTCAGATGACCATTAAATCGTTTAATGGATCTCAATATTGCGTCGTCGACTCATTTAAGTTTAGTGCAAATAATTACATCACACATGCTAAATATTAGTTGGAAAACTTGTAGGGAAGATATTATATCTATGGGAGATACAGAAACATATGGGAGGATGATATTAAAGTAGATCTTAGTGAAACAGAGCATGAGGACTAGACTCATCTGCCTAAGGGTAAATTCTAGTGAATTCTATGGTACTGAATTTTGGGGTTCCATAAAAGACTACAAAATCGAGTACCTACTCGACAACTGATTTATCTACAAGGACTAAACGCTATGGAGGCATTTCATGTATCCCAACTAATGGGCCGAGGGCACCAACAATAACATACACATACACATATGTCTGTTTCAAGATTTCCGACAACTAAGCTAAGCCCAGTTACACTCCTTATTTGCGGTTCGAAGAACAAAGTCCTCTTTAGTAACTTAACACCATTTAACAGTCACATGCATACCAACCAGAAAGAATTGACATTAGCTTACTTGTGACTTCTGGCTTAACGCTATCTCATAATCATCTTGGGTTTCGGTCGGTGGCTCCATCTCGCTACAGCGACGACTTACGCCTTCAGATCGGACTACATCCCCGCATTCAGGCTCAGTCCTGACTGACCCTTCACGATTTCCACCTGCAAATACAGAGCAGTATGACCACCAAGATGATATAATGCAACTCTGAGGTCAGAAAACCGCTACAAATCACAATGTAAAATGTGCTTATGAAATCTTACATTCATTTGGTACATAGAGAGAAATCCTTTCACGGCTGTGCACTACTTGACGACCGGCGTACCGCCGGCTGCGAGGCGCATAAGAATGTTGCCAATGAATCAGTCAGGAAGCTTATTAACTTTGTGGACCGCTTGACAGTATTATGTTTCACAGCGAGCAGTGCGGTCCATTCGTGGCAATTTGTTTACGATTTGTCGGCACTGGGCGGCAGTTACCAGCTACATTAGCCCTTTGTTCTCAGTACAATTAGTGGGCCATGTGGTAGGTCATGGTACGGTATACTTTGTAGCAAGGGTATCCAAACTACGACCCGCGGGCCACATCTGGCCCGCGATGTGATTTTATGCGGCCCGCGAAAGAATTGTGCAGAAATGCGCCAATTGAACTAATTTTCCAATGAGTAGTGGTAAATGTGAATCCGAGATTACTGACCTGACATATTATACTGCAGTTCGATGGCTTAGCTGTGGAAAGGTTCTTTCGCGCTTCTCTCAGCTCAGAAATTAAATTGATATATTTCTTACCGAGAAAAACCATCACGAACCACTTTTATCATATACCGAGTGGCTTTAGAAATTAGCATTTTTTTTTCCTGATCTGGTGAACCATATGAACCATTTGAATTTAAAGTTGCAGGGTGAAAATAACCTAGTCTGTGATTTATTTACACTTATCAAGGCATTCACAGCAAAGCTTATACTTCTGGAAAGCCAAGTGAAAAATTGTAATTTTGTTCATATGCTATACTGTGCAGAGTTGCATAAAAAGGATGAAGCAGAATTTCCTTCCTTGTGTGCAAATTTAGTCATTTCAGATTAGAAAAAACAGTTTCGGAAGCGATTTGCTGATATGGATGCCAGTGCTCAGGAAATCAGATTGTTTCAAAATCCGTTTGACTGTGATGCTGCAGATGTCCCAAGTCAAATTCAAATGGAAATTATTGAACTTCAAGAAAATTATCATATTAAAGACAAATACAAGGAAGGAAATTTGATCGAATTTTATACATTTCTGAACTCTGAGCAATTTCTAAATTTAAAGAAAATTGCTTGTAAATTTATCTCCATTTTGGGGACAACATATCTGTGTGGACAAACGCTTTCCCAGATGAAGTACATCAAGTCGAAATACAGGGCAAATTTATCAGATGAACATTTAAATTCGCTACTTGTGATTAGCGTTTCAAAATTCGAACCTCAATTTAATGAGATTTTAAGAATGCAAAACGAGTTCCATCATTCACATTAATTGTTTTATTATAATTTGATGAAAATATGAGCATTTGCTGCTATTGTCTGTTGTCATCAATATACGATAATTTATTCTCACGTACTTTGTATTTAGTTTATGAAATTCTGTGCTTTCAATAAAACTCATATACCTAGAGTTATTAATTTCTCATTTTATCCGGCCCGTTGAAAGTGCTGAATTACCTAATGTGGCCCGAGGTTCGAAAAGTTTGGAGACCCCTGCTTAAGAGCAACGTGTATTTCTGTAAGACACGTGTGTGAGTTAGGGACCTGCTGGAAAGTGCAGACGTAAATTTTGTAATGAAAGAGTTCCCAGCAGACAAACAATTCACAATTTCGTGAATAAATTTAGATAAATGGGACTCTAGACAAGAAATAAAAACATAAGCACCGAGTTCTTACTGAAAAGTTAGATGACATAAGAGCCAAACTTGAACGTTCACCTAGAAAATCTTTATAAATATATATTGTTTGCATCCTGTTGAGTGAATTACAACTAACAAGATATTAATACATATTAGATGTTCAGCCATCAACACAACAAATATTTTCATTGATTGATTTAAATGTTATTTAAGTCGTTCAAAAACGATTGACACTCCCTCCTTAACTCCGGAAAAGTAGCAGTGTCAAATGCGAGCCGGTGTATATGGGAAGACATACTACAGCGCCGCCTATGGCCACGAGATGATGTTGCTACTGCGCACAGGTCGAACAGTGCTGCGCAATCCGTTGCGGTGTGCAGGTGCAGTCGTGGACAACGCTTAGACAACATGGAAGCAGACAATCACAGGCAGCAGTGGACTGTGTGGTTTCTCTGGAGGGGAGGAGTGGTTGCTTCACACATTCACACAGGGTTAGCAGCCGTATGTGGGGATGCAGCACCAAGCCGCAGAACCGTGTTTCGCTGGATAGCAGAGTTCAAAAAGGGCAAGGACTGTGCGGAAAAAGGCAAAAGCAGTGGGCGTCCAGCAACAGCATGCACACCAGACAGTACCCAGCGCGTGTCCGGCTTGATACCGGAGAACAGGCGCATCACTTATGATGAACTAGAGAACGCAACAGGTTTGTCACACGGAACACTGCACACCATCATCCATCGGGACTTGAAGATGAAAAAGGTCTGTGCTCAATGGGTGCCCCATTCTCTCACAATTGTGCAGAGTCAGAAGCGTGTGGAGACATGTCAACAGTTGCTGCAGCTGTATAGCGCGGATCTGGCAGAGTTCTTTGAGTGTCTAGTCACCGTCAACGAGTCATGGTTCTGGCACGAGACTCCAGAAAAGAAACGCCAGTCCCTGGAGTGGAAGCACGCTGGGAGCCCTCCTCCAATGAAGTCACGACCAGGACTATTCGTCCGGAAGCAAATGGCGACTGTGTTCTGGGTTCAGCAGGGGATCCTTCTGTTGGATTGGCTGTCCCCAATACAATCATCGACAGTGATCGGTACTGCAATTCACTGCGATAACGCGGCCACGGAAAATGGGGGCGCGGCGTTCTTCTCCAACACGACAATGTGCGGCCACATGGCAGTCAGCAGACCACTGCCACCCTGGGTGCTCTAGGGTACACCGTGCTGCCTCATCTGCCATACTCGCCCGATCTTGCCCCTAGCGACTACGCTCTAATCGATGCAATGAAAGACGTTCACCTCCAACAACGAGCTTCAGGCAGTTGTCCAGCAGTGGCGCCGGGAATGGTCCGCTGTGCAAGTACGGAAACTGCCGGAACGAGGGCAAAGGTGCAGAGACACTGGCGGGGAATACCCCTAATATAATCTGTACGTATTTTGTTCCAATAAATGGTTACTGTGAAGAAAAAACATTGAGTGTCAATCATTTTTGAACGCCCCTAGTAATAGCACGTTTAGTGGTGGATCGAATATAGTAACATAGTCTTAACTAAATACAAGCGCAGGGCATAGTAACACCAGAGAATGAATCGTTTCTGCAAATGATATAAGAAATTACACAAAAACTAATATGAAGACCTCATGTATGAGAGCAGTCTATTGCAACATGAAACATACAGCTGTCTACTGCTCGTAACGACAAACTTATTTTAAGTTAATTTTTAATTCTTAATGGAAACTTTTATTTTAATCTCAATGAACTTATACTGAAATGCAATTAAATAATAACAAGTACACATAGAATCTAGATGTACATCATTGGGTATCTATTTTACTTCATACATTACGTATGTAAACCAGGAATATATTTAATACAACGCGAGTGCAATGTTAGTACTTGTTAAGGTCATGCGTTACAAGTAAAATTAATTGTGTTGTCTGAAGAACACCTGAAGGTGACCCTCTGAGGAACGAAACATGTAGTGTTGATTTTAAATCAATCAATAAAAACATTTCTTGCGTTGACAGCTGAACATGAAAAAACCTAGAAAATCACTGAAAAGTCTAGCTTGAAAGACTAGGGTGTCAATGTCTAGTGTATGAAGTGCAACACAATTTCTGAAGCTTAGACCCTATAAAACAACAGCAATCCGCGATCCAGCTACCAGAATTCATTTTTGTGGTTTGTTTCTACAGTCTGTCGTTGAAAGTGAGATCGATAAGCAATCGACATTCTATTCTGGTTTCACTTGCAGGAATACAAAAATACGCAAAATTATCGATACTGGAATTCACAGAATCCACATCTAACCCACACACAGAGTCCTGCTGCATCCAGTGATAGTTGGTGTCTGGTGTGCTGTAAATGCAAGGAGTGTTGGACCTCTTGTTGTAACGGATCAAATAATTGCGAAAGGTATGTAGAGGCCATTCTCGGGAAATTCTTTCCAAAGTTAACGATAACAAAACAAACTCCGTGGCCTGTAGTCCGCAAGCGAACTATACCTACCGAGCGACCGTCGCTTTTCGGCGAAGTTAGTGCAAACTTTAGCGGATAGAGGGTATCGCGTGGTCAGCGCAAAGGATCCCCACAGCCGTTAATCTCGGTTTTCTAGACCGGAGCCGCTATTTCCTTAAAATAGATCCTCAATTATCTTCACGAGGCTGAGTGGACCCCGTTCCAGACCTACTAATTCTTAGAAAATCTGGTAGCGCTGGGAATCGAACCCAGGACCTCTGGATCTGTAGCAAGGAACTCCGACCACTAGACCACAGGAAAAAGAACTGTATGGCTGGTTTGACCGAGGCTCAGCTACTGCCAACCCTGCACGTATGTCTATGCAGGGCTTTGTCTGATGTCTTCGGGAGCAGAATTATCAGCAGTGATATCTGACCAGCACGTTCACCTGATCTTACTCATTGTGATTCTTCTACTGGGTTGTTTGAAGGACAAAGTTTACAGCAGTAACTATCGCACAGAAGAACTAAAAGAAAATGTTCGTGCGGAAATTGCAAATATTCCTGCAGAAGTTTCAAATGTCTGCGTGTAGAGGGACAGCATTTTCAACACTCCTTGTGATTTGCGAACTGTAACTACTTCATTCCGAAGGCTATCGGCCGACAGACATATTGATTCACTGGCAAAATTCGTATGCGCCTCGCAGCCGCCAGTTCACCGGCCACCGTGAAGCGCGGAGCCGTGAACCGTTCAACAGAAGTAAAGAACTCCCTGTAGTTACTAAAGCTTTCAATAGCAAGTACTGTGAAAACCCAATGACGCCTATCTTCCTAAATA